ATGTTTTGTGTCCATATTGATTTTGAAGTCACTTGTCTATCTACAATAAGATGGGATGTCTATTCCCAACCATTATCTCAAGCCTTTTTCAAACGAGTCTCTCCTATAAAGTAGAGTTTTCTATGTATAACTAGATCGTTGCTCTAACTAAGTTGTTTAAAGGTTACCATTATAGAAATTCCTAACATTATAAACATGAATAATAATGAATTATGGTTTAGTAATGACAGATGCTTGCCTACAAATTTTCAACCCATGGCCTTTTTCCTCCATCTCTAATTTTTTTAGCATAAAAGAAAATATTTCTGCATATAAAATAAACATGATGAATGAGAGGATTGCTCTCACACAATCCCCTCCTAGGAGAGAAAGAAGATGTTAATTTGTCATTAACCAAAACTAATGTTATCTTTATTAAAAACTAAATTAAGTATACGTTTTCAACCAAAAGTACTTTGATTCTGGATATTTAGCCAAATTTATGTCCTTTTACAGCACAAAAATAGATAACCTAATATATATAAGATAATACTCCACTTATTTAACTATAGTTCTTTCTTTTTAATATAATAAAATTATATTTAAGTTAATTATTATTTTTTCACAAACTTTATTATTTTTATTACTATCTTTTAAAATCGTCTTAGTGCTACCTAATTTTTTTAACTTTAATATAATTTTTATTAATATTTTTTTAATCTTTTTAATAGAAGAGTTAGTGGTATTTTGAATTTTTTCTTGAAATTAAATCGTTTCATGGACAAATTTACCGGTGCATATCTTCATATTAGTCTAAACATCTACCAACACAATACTACTATAAGAAATTAAGTGTGTAAAAATTAGATATAAGTCATTCAAGAAAAGTGATATCCTATACGTGCATCTTTTATTCATTAAACTATCATTCAAGTAATTATTTTTATTTTTAATTTTTAACTAAATAATGATATTAAAGATGATATTTAAAAACACTTGCAATAATGTATTGATGTCATAAAAAACTTTTAAATATTTAAAGAGCGACAAAAAAAAGGTCGGGTAGACAAATGATCTCATCATAGAAGCAAAAAAAATCAATTTCTTTCAAATATACAACATAAATTCTAGTAATATAATGTCGTTCATATTATTATAAAAGTAATCTTTTCATGTAGAGAAAATCTTGAACATGATAAGAAAATGTATGTACGATCTAATGGTAAGTAGAAAAGTTAAGTGTTAAATAGTTTAAAGAAAATAAATAAGGATAAAGGGCAACTAGAATAATTATTCTTTACTTATACTATTTATATTTATTACACATCTAAATAAGAAATAATGTGCACATGACGAGATAAGTGGCAAGCTATTTGGGCATGTGAGATGATGCGGCAAGACATATCATTGGTGACACCAACATATGAAAACAACAAAGACCATAAGATAATCAAGTAAGTCCTAACTAGTGGCAGTACGATAGAAGATAATAAAAATGCACTCAATGTAAGAGTTAGACATACTCTTTATTTTCTAAAAACTCATACTTGCTCCTTTAAGCTTGCTTATTATTTTTCTTTACCAACTTGAGCATCATGATGTCCTTTACTCAATCAATTTATTTTATTTATTAGACATGACAGTCACATTTGTTCAACTTTATAGATCATGAGTATTTGAAGTTAATCTATTATCTCAAGAGTTAATTCTTTGTTTAATCACACAAGTCTGACTCACGTCACTTTTTACCTCATCAATTTAAATATATTATTAGATAAAAGTAAATTTTAATACGAAAAGAAGTATTGTATTGTTCTTTGTTTAGTACATTAAATCCAAGACTCATATGTAATATTCATATTATAAAAGTCTAATTACAACACATTTATATTTGATATTAAGTTTTTAAGATATAAAAAATAGTAGTAAATAATATTGTGACTACTTGTACTATATGTAATAGGTATTATATAATAAATAAACATTATATAGAAAATTCACTTTTAAGTTATAATCATTATTTTTATAGTGAATTGATCACGATATCTATCAAGTTGTTCGATTTAAGTAATTCTCTAAAGAAAATTATATTGAAATAAAATACAATACCTCTAATAAGATAATTAACTCTTTTAAATACTTTAAATAAAAAAAATTATTAGGTCGTGAAATGTTGGGAGCTTAAATGTAATTTTTCTTTCCAATATTATCACTTAAAAATAGATATAAAATTACAAATTGTTAAAAATATATTTCACCGGTAGCTTACAATTTACTTTTCGTCTTTTTGGGTAGGCAAGCAAACTCCAATACACAGGTTTTTTTTTTTTTTTTAATAGGAAATATACTCCACATTGTTGACTAACCAAATCCACTAGAAAGATGAGGACCGCCACAGCCAAACCCAAGTTGTTGTTGTCGTTCTCTTTTCAACGCTATTAAATTAGTTTTCTTTGTTGTCATTTACATACAACTCTATTCACCATTTGACACTATTTTTTTTTTTTTTAATTTCTTTTTCCAAGATTTGGTAAATAAAATAAATTAAACCACCATTGATATCATCAATTAAAGTCTTCAATAGAATAATAACACACATTATTAAAAAAAAAAAAAAAAAAAAAAAAAGTGGTTGAAGTGGGCATCTCTCAAACAAAGTCATATATATATGCCCACACAAAATCATATATTATAATAATATTGAGGGGTGCACCCAATACCTCATCCTCCCCCGTCAACACCACAAGAGAAAATTACCCCCCAAAAAAAAAAAAAAAAAAAAAAAACCATTAGTTTAAATCTAATTTGATTCCCATATCCTTCCAAAACCACTCTCCAATTAAATAACTAAATGACTAGGAAAAATGAGGTTGTCAACACGAGAGATGAGAATTTAAATCAAAGTGGAGGAGGATATTGAAAAAGAAAAAAAGATTTGTCGTTTCTTTTTTCCAATTTTTTTATTGGGTAAGGTAAATGACATTGAGAGACCTTTCTTTTTTTTTTTTCTTTCAATGCTACTTGGAGGTTGATAATTACTTGCCAAAAGTTCATAGGTTTTGACAATTATGTGCTCTATATTATTTGCGGATTATGTGTCTGAAACCATTTTGGATTTATATATTAAAATGGGTTTTCTCTTCTCTACCCAAGAAAAAAGAAAAAAGAAAAAATAAAAAAAAAATTAAAAAAAAAAAAAGGAAAGGAAAAAAGTAATCTCCAATCACACATGGTGATTGATCCCTTCAAATGATCATTGAGTCAGAAGCATTAAGCACCAAAAGAGCAATGAATCATTTTGCCTGGCATAAAAGAATGGGAAATACCTTACATAAATCTTGTCATTGCATCTACACCATCATCTGCATGTGTTCTTCAATGGTTCCTGCTCTCATGTGAAGTTTCCTTTTTCCCTTTTTTTTTTTTTTTTTTTTTGCAAAATAAAATAAAAATAATAATAAGCCATGGCATTATGGCAATTTTGGGAATGATGTATGTTTATTTATGAAGTAAAGGAAATATACTATTATGGGTTTTTTTAGGTAACATTTTGGCATTAGTTGGTGCATTAAAAAATATAGTCATTTGCTAGATTTACTTTTACTTGCAGATTTGTCATTCCTTTATGTCATTTCATGATACACCTGTAAAATAGTAATTTGCAAAAAATTAGTCTAGTTGATAAGAAAGTCTGCTATCTATTTCAATAATTTATATTTGATTTTTCTAGTGTGAAGAACTAAAATGGACCAAAGAAAGATTTTGATCTACATTTGCAGTTTAAAAAAAGAACAGATAAAAAGACAAAAAACAATTTTCATTGTTTTGTATCATGAAAACCATTTTCAGCCTCCTTATTCTTGGCTTTATTGGCAACTGACCAGCAGCCACGATAGATGAATTCTAGAAACCCAACCTACAAGTCATTAGTCAAAGAAGAGAAAATTTCTTGGTCACTTGTTTAATAATTCAATTTTATTTTATAATAAACATTTATTACTATACAAGTCAATGAAGGTAGATTCTTTGCTAAACATAATGCTAATACCTGGCCATGTATCGAGTTCACAGCATGATTTCCAGGTTAAGAATGATTCGATGCCGCGTTTCACTTTATTGTTTGAGCATCATAGTTTAAAAAACAGAACTTGATTGAATGGTTATTACTTGTAGATGACGGTGGTAGAATTCAAGATGAGAAGGTAAAGGAATGAATGTTTTACTGCGTTTTGATATGTGTGATTTGGTCAAACTTCTTTGAGGGTCTCACATTCTTAACATTGCCTGATACACTGCTAGTGGCAAAAGGGTTCAAATTAATTCCAAGCGCTCATTTCATGTAACAAGCACAAACATCTGGAGATTATAACAGACACAGTATCAACCTTGTAGTTTTTGCAGAAAGTTGACCACTCAATGGCGCGATCCAACAGAGCGATATGTTTTTTTTTTTTTTTTTTATGGAAAAACAGGAGAAATAGGATAAGAGCTGACAATTCAGAATTCTAGTTATCCAAATTGACTTCTTGTTTCCAATCTTTCACCTTAACAAGGATTGTCAATGCAGGATTACAGAATGAACAGAAAAGGTTAGTTGTTAATGCAAACGGGTCCACTGCAGAAGCTAATTTGTGCTGTTGGTCAAAAGTTCAACTCCTACTTAACAGATAAAAGTATAAGCGTAGGTACCCAATGCAAGACAAGCCATTTTCCCTCCTTTTCTCTCTAGGGTTAACAATTCAATCACCATAAATTGCGGAACCCAAGGATATTGGACTTTTGAGAGGTCACTTTAAATAAAGTGAAAACCTAAGAGTCACTTTGATGTTTCCCTAGAAGATCATTTCCTCTTTACTTGGAACAGCTCCTTTATAGGCCAAAAGGGTAGTCATACAACTATCACGAAGAGGATGCCTCTGTTCTCAACACCATCATCATGAAAATTTCTACCTTTAAAAGGTATAAAATGCTACTATTTTTTTGTACTTAAAAGCAAAGTTAAAGAGACACAATTTGCATTCTTTTCAGCATAATGATCATTTATTTCCTCTGCTATTTTCTCAATCAAACCCAATACATTTTATCAGAGAAAACTGTGGACAACTCATATTACTATTATTGTTCTATTATGAACATTGATAATCAATTATTCCACCAAGAAATATGCTTACAAAAAGATATCTAGTAAGGCCAAGGACATTAAAAGGCACCTAGAGTGTTCTGAATCATTTCAATGCTTCTCGTCGGATGCTCAAGAGGTTTGTTTTTATCCCCTTGCAGAGTCTGCCTTCAACTAGGCGAACAGGCAACCACATCTTTGGCTTTACATCAACTAGATACGAAAGAGTAGTTTTAAACTCTTTGCCATGAGAACCTTCGTAGCTTTCACATTTTCCTTCATTTAACTGCAGGATCCATATGTATGAAATCATTAACCTATCAAAAGCATAAACCTGCTTGTGTACCAAAAAAGTTAGCTGGATCAAATATGGACTTCCATAGCCTAGTCACTGATAAGGTGTCGAAGGCAACGCCATACATATCCAGGATGACCATTCCCCAGAACATCAAACACACAACAAAAGCAATGGCCAATTCAAGAACATTCTTTTGGGCAAAAATAATGACTGAAAGTCGATACCTGAAGCCAAAAGTTGAATTCAAGAAGAGGGCGAGCAGGAATTACCCACACGTGATGATATAAAGCATGTTTACTAAAATTCACCATGATTCAGAACATTGGAGGATAATTATGATCTATAACTTAGAAATGAATGAATGAGAAGAGCGTATCATTGAGAGATGGCGAAGACGATAGTAGGATTATAGAAAGCCAGGGCTTATAAAGTTAAGGTAAGGGCTAGGGAGAGCTTAAGACCTGTTTATATTTTTACACTTTTTATTTGAAAAAAAATTTGAATCCAAGTGCTTAGCCCCATTCTTATTTTTTTTTTCAAAAAAAGTTCCTTAGTTGAGCAGACAATCTAAAGAAGTAATAACATACTGAATACCACTTTCTCTTAGCCATGTTTCCCAATTCCCCTCATGCACATTACAGCGGTGTACAGTCCAGAACTCGAACCGGAACCCTTGTGTAAATGGATGGAACTACTAACCACTTAACCTAGGGGTGGTTGGTGTAAATCAAACAGCATAAGTTTTAGACATAAAAAATGATTACAGATTTAATTCTACAAGTCTGGCAACACTTGGTCCAGAAAAGTTTAAAAAGAAATACCAGTACAGTTCCTAAAAGCTGATAGGTCCATATGATGTAAAAACTAAGTTTTAGATAGCCCAAAACCAAGAGTTAAATTTGCAGGAAAAGATTCTGTAACACTCTGCAATAACAAACCTCAAATAGCCTGAAAAAGTCTTACCTGCTCGATCAACCATTTACCCTCAAATAATTGAAAATCACCTTCAATCATCTTAAATTCAATTTCACGCCTCTGTCCAGAAGGAAAAATCTCAAGATCCTTCTCATAACAATCCAAAACTCCTTTAGCGTTAAATTTCAGGCCCAATGGCAATTTTTGCTGTCCAATCTGTTGAATGAATTAAACAGCACAATGAGATTCAAAATTTAAGATGTGGGCCAAAATATATCAGCATAACATGTCACTATGTGTCTTGAGTAGAAGTCTGTTTGACATATCCACAGAATAGTTTGAACATTTAAGCAATTTGAAGGATGCATGAAAAAAACAAGTATCTGGTTGGGAAGTGAATGTCAAATCCATACAGCAACTAATTGTCAATGTAATAGAAAGCAAACACCCAAGGGAAGGAAATAATGTAAGAATTCCAATAGGAGAAGAATTTCAGTCTTCTAAAAACCAACGTCATTTTATCATCATTCAAAGAGAAACATAGCCATCTTTTTATCATCATCTAGAAAAAAGCACGACAAAGTTGCATTGCCAGTTATGACCAGAGGGGTCCTGAAGAAGCGGGAAATGAAGGTCATATTAGAAATAGTCTGCATCGCATTGAATAGCAAAGAAACAGGAAATGAAGGTTTATCAAATTATAGGAA